GTAATTTCTGCTTAGTTTTCATCAGGCAGAAGTTCTGCTTCTCACTGATCTTTAGGAGATTTATCTTAGCAAAATCTTCTTGTTGGGGAACTTGTGGGTGACCCCACCTTCAGGCTTGCTGGGCTTTTATCTGCCTTCCTTTACTATGTCCATCTCTGTACATGTCCCACCTGGACATGTAGTGGTGCTGCCTGCGCTGACCTGGGGCCAAACCCCTCAAAAAGCACCTCATGGACAGAAGCAAAGGGCTCCTCTCACTGTGGGATGAAACCATGTCAGTAAAGAAGAGGGCCAAGTATATTAGAAGATAAAAGCAAGTCAGGAATTCCCAAAGTGTTAGAGCTCAAAGTCATGTCCTTGGGAAAGGCAGGATGGAAGAATTCCTCAGGAACATGGACTGGAAACTACGCAGAAAACTGAGGCATGGGTCCCAGAGGCAGTGGGGACACTGACATCCCTGGCATGAATTTACCTAAATCCTATTAATGACAGAGCACTGTGTATACCCAGGGACTCGGTTTGGACAGAGGAGTCTCCTCAGACAAAGCCAAGACCTCAGGAACCACACCTCACACCAGCAGATCCCACTTGGCACCACACACCCCCACAGGGCACAAAACCCCTAAAGACCTTCTAATTGCCAGCAATAACCCAAGACCACCAGGAGACAGCTCAGCTCCCCTTCCACACCAGCACAAAGGGATCCTTTTGGCTAATTAGAACTGCCTGGCTCTTGCCTCTTTCCTTGCTCCATTTCATTTTATTATATTAATAATAATAAAAAAGACTACTTTTCTTCTTCAGCTGCCTTGGATTTTGCTTCTGTCTATATTCATCTGGGTTCTGTGCAATGTCACCAGGTCAGTTTGTGCTCCTGCTGCAGTTCTAATTTTGTCAGCTTTCCATTTTCTAGGGAGTTTTCTAGGGGATTTTTCTTCTCCCCCCACCCCCCCAAGTCAAAAATGATTTTGCATGACAGTAATAATGTTAATGGCCCTGCACAGTGTACCCAGATTACAGCTGCAGCCAGGGAGAAACAAGCATCTCATCTTTGCCCTGCTGTTTATCTACCCACAGCAGAGCCTGGTATCAGGTCAGAACCTGTAATTTCATTAACTTTATCACTCAGACACGCTTGTTGCAAGATGTCATTATTCAGCACATTGCTCATGTGTTTTGTTTGTGCTGGGGTTCACTTCAGATGCTCCAGCACCACGTGGGAGCAGCTCTTCCATCGCATCACTGCAGAGCAGTGCCTGAGACTTAGGAAAGTTTGGCTCACTGATCCATGCTCTGCTGATCTGTGATTTGCAACACAGACATTTGTGCTGCTCAACATCCCTGGTAGGGACTTCTGTCCCGTTTTGCAGGGCTGTTCACAGTGGAGTCATCCAGTGCAATTCCCCACCTGACTTGATACATCCAGAAGCTCCACATAAGGCATAAAAAACCCACAGTCTTCCTCACGGAAACTGAGCCCAAGAGCTGCACAGCACAGGGATCCCAAATGATGGCAAGTGCCTGCTGCAATCACAACCTGGCACCTGCAAATCAATCACTGCCTGGCATGAGGTGGGGGGGGCACAGGAATAATCAGGGCAGGCAGGTGGAGGGTGAACCAAAATGCTCTGTCTTCATTGGATTTGCCATCCCTGGTAATTAATGCTAGGAAGTGACACTTGAAAGAGCTTCTAGTGACAGTCCCAGTGATAATACCGTGTGGAGCCTGCTGACAAGTCCCAGCTGGTGTCTTATCAGAGCTACACTGCGAGAGGAACAAGGAGAGCTTTTCCCTGGGTGTTGAGGGACACCCTGGGATGTAGGCACAACTCCTCACCCAGCCTCAGTCATCATCCCAGGACCTGGCAGCCCAGCACCAGGGGAAAAGCTAAGCCTGGTCTCAAGCTAGGGCCATGCTCCAGCTGGGTTTCCCTTGACACATCCATCTTCCTTCCACCTGTAAAACTGTGCCAGAACTGAGCTGATATCCAGCCCCTGGGGATTCTCCAGTACGTGGTGTCTGCTGGCACCAACTGTAGAGTTTCTCCACCACACCTGCCACATTACCATGGGAATCCTGGCTGCATCTGCTGCTCGTGGGCAGGTCAAAGGGCCTGTGTGCACAGAACACTCAGTACCTCCTGAATCACTGTGTGTCTCACTCTTGTGGAAACCGGGTCAGAGTGCAAAGCCCACAGAACATTATCCAGATATTTCTGGCATAAAAATCCCAGGTCTGAACTACAGCTACCTCATCCTTGATGATCCAGGCTCTGACCAGCTTCAGCAAAGAGGAGCAACTAGCACATATTGCAGCTTGACTCCTTCAGCAAAGCCTCATCCAAGAGGGAACAATGCCTATCTGGGAGGAAACTCACAGTGAACTGGCACAGTTTGGAAGGATCAGAACAGGCAAGACAGGAATCTGCCTCCATCCAAGGTGCAAAGCCCAGTACCTTCACCAGCTGAACTGGTGGCAGCATTTGTGAACATATCTCACAGCCTGGGGTAGCCCTGATCCTGCAGGCAGCTTGCAGCCCTGGCTTAGGGGGATTTTTCAGTCAGTATAAGAGTTTCTTTATTGCCAATTCCTGAAGATCTCAATTTAATATTCTGTCCTAGATCTTGTTTACTATTATGTTTTGAAGAGGACTGAAATGCAGTTACTGCTGTCTTTCCCACTCACACAACTCTAAATTATTTATAGAAAAGCAAAACAAAGAAGAGAATATGAAAGAATAAAAAAAGGTAGCTCAGTTATTAATGTGAAGGTTTTCATTTGTTCATTGCCACTGAGTAGAGGGCTGGAGAAATATCTCTTAACACCATGGGCCAGTAACAGCCAGCTGTACACAACAGGGAACGACAATAGGGATGCACAGATCAGCAATCCAGGACAGCAGATGGACCCCTGGGCACCTCTGCATTTGTCTGAACAGTGATAACCATCACTGTTGTAATCACCTTGATTAAAATACTAAAAAGCACTGAAAGAGGGGGGAAGGAACAACCTCAGCCATGATTTACAACAGTCACAGGTGCAGGGACCTGCTTTCCAGGCACAATACATCATCAGGGCTCTCCCCAGCTTGGATGCTCAGAGCTGTACAGGCTGAGAAAAGTCCCTGTCCCCATCGCTGTACCCCAGGGACCACTCAGCCTTTGTAGGAGCCCCACACACTCACAGGAAGAAGGGAAGGACAGTCCAGTGTCACCCTAAGAGCCCCTTCCCTGCACAGAAGGAGCCAGCATATCCCTTCCTCACTCTTACCGGAGTCACTCAGTAATCAGCACTAATGTACTTGGCTTTTGTTTATTCAAATGCATTTTATTGAGCATTGCAGGTGAACGATATTAAATGGCTTCTAATAACATCTCAATAAGCAGAGGTGGGTGTTGCAGCTTCTGAGAGGCAGACTTTTAAACTGCAGGCAATCAAGTGTGCATCAGCCAAAACACTCTGGGGAAAATGCTGCTCTTCTCTTTGCAGGGAAATCTTCCCCTGAGTCCCACAGTTGTATCCATGCAGCCCACAGTCCCACCATCCCCACACAGGCAAGAGAGCAGCACTCAGACCCTGCCTGGCCCTCTGGGCAACACTTGTCTAAGTGCAGAGAGCAGAACCACATGGTCCAGCAGCACCAGTTTTATCTGCAGTCAGGAGAAACTAACTAAAGAGTAGCCAGTCTAGACTGCTTTATGTAGGCTCTGGCACTGGCCTCCCCCTGCAGCTCCTGAGTGCCTTCCAGCAGTGCATTGAGGCCCAGCACCAGCACTGTCACTAATAGTCTGGTCTCTCTTCCTCCTCTCCCAGGACAGGCTGTGCAGTCTGACAGCAAGTAACATACCTGCCCGGCTGCTCAGCCTGCAGAAGCCCTTCCAAGCTCTGGCCATACAGGCTCCATCTACACTGTGACAGCAAGGGACCCTGTCTGTCCGTCCTATTGCATCCAACCTTTGTCTACTTGCTGTACCTGTGTTGAAGCCCTTTACCTAGAAGGACCCCACCATTACTTTCTTTCTGAGCTGAGCAGAACTTTGGGGAGAGGGAATGACAAAGGGAGTAGAGCTCCTCCAGATTCCAGCCCAGCACCTTCAGGGAAGGCACAAAGCATCTGCAGCACCTTCCCAGCCCAGCCCTTCCCTGCTACCCAGAGCTGCTACAGGGGAACTTTCACCTTACAACAGCAGAGTTATCCAATATTACAAGCAGTCAGCACCACAGGGACAGGCAGCAGTCAGAACCCACACCCACCAACATGTTTGTCACTAGAACTGGAGCCCTACTCAACAGTAAGGCAGTGAACATACCTTCCATCTAGAAAGAAACAGCCAGCATGATGGACACCCACGTGCCAGCACTCAGACCAAGAAGTTGAGATGAATCCCAATACTTCCACCTTGTTGACATGGCTGTTCTAGCACTGCTGGAGGTCTCGGCTCACTGCCCCATGCATGGTGCTGCACAAACTCATGACAAAAGAGCAGCTGTCCTCCCTGGGGAAAGGCCAGCTCTGCTTCTCCCACCAAGCAACTTCTCACTGCCCCTTTTCTGCCATTACTGGGACCAGATACACCACCAAGCCTGAAAGTAGAGCCACCAGCTTCACAACTCATCAAAATGCACAGGCTCATGCTGGAAACAGACTTGTTTTGAAAGAGGATGAGATGAATTTTTTTCCTGTGGGGGCAGGGAAACACAGGAACAAGTTGCTCAGAGGAGTCGTGGCTGCCCCATCCCTGAAATGTTCAAAGGCAGGTTGGATGGGGCTTGAAGCAACCTGGTCTGGTGGGAGGTGTCCCTGCCCATGCAGGGGGGTTGGATCTAGATTATCTTCAGGGTCCCTTCCAACCCAAACAAGTCTGTGATTCTGTGAAATGAGACAGGTCAGGTGCTGTGAATCCACACCTAGGTGGAGCTCCCAAGCACACAGCTCACATACTCCTACGGCACCTGAACCACCAGCAACACAGAGCCAGGGAGTGCTGCAAGACCAGACCTGCTCCTCGGAGCTCACAATAAACACTGAGGGCTCACAGCTGCTGTGTCTCAGTTTCCCCAGCACCATCCATAGGTGATTCCCCTCTCAGGAAGGGCAGCTTCAGGACAATGTCTGCAAACCATCTTGTAGATGACAACTGAGCACCAAAGCCTGGAGGGCCAAGCACCAGCCACAAGGGCTACGTGTGGATGACCCATCCTCTCTAGGTGGCACCGCACAGGACAGACACCCCAGCAGGGGGCAGGGAAAGGGAAATAGGAGATAAAAAAGCCACAAACCTTTCTTTTCGTAGTCAGGCTTCTCCTCCCCACCCCGACCCAGGCTCTCCAGTGTCCGTGTGACTTGGCTGCCAAACTCGTCCTCCCTGGTGCTGGGCTCTGCCCGCCGCGGCGTCTCCTCCTCCTCCTCGTCCTCGTAGTCATCCAGGATGGGGGTCTCACGGATGGGGACCCCGATGACCGAGTTGTGGGCCTGGAGGCGCGAGTTGCGGAAGCTCTCGCGGGCCTGGGGGCCCAGCAGCACCGAGGGGATGTAGTGGATCTCGTGGGTGGCCTCGGTGCTGGCGCTTTTCTGCGGGATGCGGCGCCGCTTGTGCCAGCGCCGCTGGGCGTACAGAGCCACCGTGAAGACCAGGAGGAGCAGCAGCAGCGCGATCAGCCCACCCTGCAGAGGAGAGCAAAGGGCAGGGGTCAAGAGATGCGTGGAGTCCAGGGAGAGGTGATGAGTCGGGAAGGGCACAGGAATGGGTCAGGAGATGCTGCAGCCAGAATCTGTGAGCCCTCTCCTCTTCTGCCACCCGAGCACCCTTTCGTTAACACTCCAGGAACCACACGCAGGTGGGTTCATGACCAGCCACCTCTGAGGCAGGACATCACAGGAAGGTGGAGCAGGGAGCTAAAGCTGGAGACAGCACAGTGACTCCCTGGCTCAGCTCTGCCCAAAGTCCCAGGGACTTTGTTCTTACCACATGCCCCTGGGTCCCCCCAGCTCGTTCACTCACAGGGGCATGAGGTAGGTTATCACTCTTCACCCACCCTGCCCAGAGACGTGGGAAAAGACAATCACACCATTTCAATGAAAAAAAGCTCATTAAAACAACCCAGCTACCAACACAGGAGCAGTAAACCTCAGCTGAGACACAGAACACTTCCCACAAATGACTGTGCAACAAATGGCACCACACAACTGCTGCTCCCCAAGGCACAGGGGAGCTCCTTCAGCTCCATCACTTCTGCTTGCAATTTGCTTATGATTTCAATGAGGTTTCAGCTGCAGACCTGGGGGCACAGCACAACATCTTCCAGACCAAAACCTTCAGTGCAATTCTCTCCTCTTCCCCCACCTCGACATTTTATTTGAAGCAACTCCCAAATACATTACCATAAAAGAAAAAAAATCTTTACCAAAAACAAAAGTTTCCTAAATACCTATAAAACCTATGGAAGTGGCATCTCCTCCAAGGGAGCCAGGCTGGGCAGCACTGGAGGTTAATTCAGCCACCCTCGCTCAGCCCATGCAGGCAGTGCTGTACATGTGCCAGCTTCCAGCCTCTTAATCTCCACAGCACCAGAGCAATTTTATGCCGTGGCAGACAAGAAAAGAAGGGCATGTAAATCAAGAGCAGCATGAGCAATCAGGGCTTTGCAGCATGACGTGGAACAGGCAGGGCAGGGCAGGCGTTTCTTTGGCACAGGGGATGTCACAGCCCAGAACTTTACGGACCGTGCACAAACAAAGCAGAGACATGACAAATATTTCATCTGCATTCCATACTAAACACCGTGTTTACCTGGAGGGAGGCTCTGACTTGTAAACAGGATCAACTACGAAGAGGTGGCATGGAAAACTGCTCACAGGAGGAGTTAGCTGGGAGAGGGGCCTTGGAAGCAGGCATGGAGAAGAGATGCTTCCCTGTGTGACCTCAGCACTAGGACCCGCTGTAGAGAGGAGCCCAGCCCAGCACGTCCCACCAGGACCTGCTTTTCTTTCCCCTAATTGGTACTAATGGGAGCAAGGCTGGGGGATTCAGGAAGACACTGTTCAGCTTGACTCCCTCAATTTAGGTGGCACATGCCATCAGGAAAAGCAGTTCAGTTTTCTGGAGAGAAATCACAGCACAGCAGACCCTCCACAAGGCCACAGTAGGGCCACATTGCAAAATCAGATCTGGCTTGTGGGCCAGTGTCCTAGCAAAGTGAGGGCTCTCACATTGCAGAAGGATTTCAGAACAACACAGACATGACTATTGGGAAAAGCCTTCTTCAAGGTCTCACCACCAAGACCCTAAGCTACTTTGCACTTATGCCTGGGTGCTCTCTGCAATGGCAAAGCACCCAGTGGGCAGAGCAGGGCTGTCTGTGCCTGCTCCACACCCACAGGCACTTTTCCTCTCTGGAAAAGCACAACTAGGGACAACCCAGGCACTTGGTCAGGGTGACCAAGAAAGCCCTGCACAAGGAGCAGCTTCGCCAGCTGGACCCAGGGAAGGGCTCCTGGCACCCACAGCAGTGTAAGAGCCATCATGGTCCTGCCTGGCAGGCCTCACCTCACATCCACCCCCAGATAAACCTGTCAGCAGATTAAATTCAAGATCTCTCTGCTTACAATAAATTACAAAAAAGGTGTAAAAGCACAGAGGTTGTGTGCTCTTCCCCTCCTGGCTCAGGAGTGACTGAGCTGGCTCAAGCAAGTCAAGGGCTCCCAGCCCAGCCACAGCTCCTGTATTCCTTGGGGAAGAGCTGGAAGTCTCTGCTCCACCAGCCACCAAGACAACAGCCCCTTCTCTGCCCAGGAAGGGCTGAGGATGCCTGGGTCAGATCCTCGGGAAGCACTCACGGGCAGCTGAATTTTGATGTGCTCCTTTCATTCCTGACCCCACACCAGCAGCTCTTTGTTTACCACAACACACACACCAGGAGACCTTCCTGGGGGAAAGGGGAGGGAGGGAAGGAAAAAAAAAAAAGTCAAACTTAGGATGCATTCAAGCCAGCCTCGTTTCAATCTATTTTTCATGTTAAATTATCCAACTGAGAGACAGAGAGAGAAAGGAGAAGGAAGGGATAATATGAGAAATGCTTTATTTGACAATGTGTCATTCGGAAACTGATTATTTCTGTCTCTGAGCTTTTTAATATTCCCAAACAATGGCCGAGCCGCACAGGGATTTGGTATTCTAAGGCTGGATTTATAATACTCTGCTCTGCAGTGATAAGAACACAGGCCTTTAATCCTCTGAGCTGTGAACATGCATATTCTCCCTGGTAATGTCCTTCCTGCCCTGCTCCCATGTGCCCTGTGCTGGCCAAGCCAGAGCCACCCAGCACCAGAGCACTGCCAAGACCCACAGAAGAAGAGAGAGGATGGGAGGAGAAAAGACTGGTGGGAACAACATGTATGTGTGTGCAGAACTGCAGGACTTGTGACACAGAAGCAAATCATGGCTGAAACTGGAAGCAGCAAGGCTGGGGCTTATTTGAAGCACCAAAGGAAAATCAATCATAGAATACTGGGTTGGAAGAGACCTCCAGGATCATCTGGTCTAACCAGATGATCTTTTTCCTGGCAAAAGCACGGTCTAGACATGATGGCCCAGCAAACTGTCCAGCTGAACTGATGGAAGAAACCACCTCAAAGCCCAGGAGATTGGGGTCTCACATAAATTGTGAAGGCTGCCAAGCTGCCAGCCTGGAGGCTGAGCTTTGTTTGGCCATCTGAGATGCTGAACAATTTCTGAGCAGGATTAAGATGCACGTGCTTCTACAAACACAAGCCACCATCCTTCTCTACCAAAGAAGTAAAAGATGAGGGAATCTGGCCACTCCTCTGGGGTCTGAGCAAACTCTTCTTTACAACAGGCTCTGGGCTTTCCCTAATGCCAGAGCATCACATCACCCTGCACTGTCCCAGAGGACAAGTCACAGTATGTGAACAGGTATCAGTGATAACCACATGATCCTTGGAGCTCTTCACACTGTTCACTTTCTTCTTTCCTTCCTTTTTGGCCATCAAGGCAATTAAACACTAAAACAATTTACCAAGTTTGCAGCAGATTTAAAAAAAAATAAATTTACAGTGATGGATAATTAAGCCCAGATGCTTTTTAGAAATGTTATGCTTTATTTCAAAAGAGAAATAAAGGTTTCAGGGAACTCTTGCAGGGTGGGTGGCACTGGAAGTCAGAGCAGATGATCTCCACAGTTCCTTCTAGTCCCCCAATTTGGCTTTTCCTACATTTCTTTCATGAGTCACAGCATTCTGATCTCTTTTTTAGAGTATCTAATCCCCTCTCAGGTCAACCCAGAGGCAGAAAGCAACTCCAGACCCTGGACACAGGCTGCCAGGCAGGCCCACATCCAGCTACCACAGACCAAGGTGGGAGATGCCACCAGCATGGACCAAACCTCAGACCTCTGCAGATCAGCACACAAGCCTCTCCTGGCTGGTTTCTGCTATAATAAAGCAGTGCTCAATGAGCAGGTGTAACAAATATTTGCATTAGGTTTTAGCCATGTTGTAGTACGAGCTAACAGATTTCCAATTAATTTCACTAGAAGTGATAGCCAACGGAACAGAGACCCTATAAATGCTGTTTTACCAGGAAAAATCTTGCTCCTGGGCACAGATCCTCCAAGGCCACATCCCAGGGCAAAGAGCAACCAAAAGGAGAGCTGGTATCATCTGCAATAGCCATTTTAACAGGCTGCTAACTGGCAATCAGTCCTCTTGGCCAAATCCTTTGCTGCAACCAAACTCAGAGAAGACACCCATTCAAGCCTAGGCTGCAGGAGGCAAACCCAGGTCTTACCATTCTCTTCCCACTGGCTCCATCAGCAGGTCTAGCCAGACTCTGGCACCCACATCCCAAGAGGTCTACACATAGAACAATTCTGGAAGAAAAATACCACATTTAACATATTGGGTTACATGGCATCTGCTTCTTCCCTTTCCAGATGAAACCTCCACACCTCCTTCTCCCTAGGACTCCTTTGCCTTATCGTTTTTTCTTTGCTGTATCTCTCAATTTAAAATATTTCTTCTGCAGATCTTAATTAACATGCTGTTTGCACCTTCATTCAGACCATTAATGATGAAAAATAAGGCTGATCTCTGCAGACACCTCTTGGAGCCTTCCCCATCCTGTGCACTGCTGTTCTTCATGACGACTTCTGCACCCTGCTGTGTCCTCGTCCTCACAGGAAACAGGACACATCCACAGATGGCACAAGATCCCTCTAGATTTGAGGGAAAAGCAGGGCAGGGGAAAGGATGTTCTAGAGTGTGCTGGTCCCCAGAGCGGGGACAACACCAACCTCCAACTGCCATCCTCAAAATGAGGGAGTTTGTGCTGTTTACTGCACCACCAACATGGCCAGGTGAGCATCAAAGAGGGAAACCAAGGCAGAGCATGAAGATGAGACCAAGGTCAAAGAGTAAGTCAGCACAAAGGCTAGGAAGGAACAACCACTCAGGATGCCAAGCTGAAAACAACTCACCTCTTCATAAAAGACTGACATAACAAGGTATATCTACTAAAAACTACAGTGATTTCTCCTGCACCCTTCAAATCCCCATTTGAGTACCACTCCACCAAGGTGCTTAACCACATACTTCACTCTAAATATGTGATTAATTCCCATTACAGTCCATGAGACTAAAGCACACAC